AACATATTTCTTTTCCTCCCTGTGTTTTTTGGCTCTGTTTTATATCATAATTTGCCTTAGCACAGAACCTTGCAAGTAGAGATTCAGTAAATGTAGACTATTTTATAGTATTTATTTTTTCATTTGCATAAATTAAGTTGAAAAGTCTACGTATATGAGTTAAATGCATTACTTTTATGTGCACTTGAAAATAAAAATGAGACTTTATATTAGAAAAGAATGTGATTAGGATAAATGGATTTTTATTTTTCTTCCTTTGAAGAGATATTCTGCATTATAAGTTGTGGAGAAGCAAAATATATTCAGTCCTTGGACATTTTCTTTACAATTATTTCCTGTATGATTGTATCTAGTCTCATGCATTTAAATACTACATATAAACAAATCAGACCTCTCCCTTAATCCTCAGACTTGTTCAGCCAGTTACTTGCTTCCTCAACATTACCATTTAATTAGTTAACAAACATTTTAAACTTAACATGTCCAAAACAAAAGTTTTGATTTTCTCCTTGAAACTGTTTCTGCTGTAGTATTCCTTACTTTGGTGAGTGGCCATATTATCCTTCCATTTGATCAAACCAAAAATTATTTCAGTAATTTGTAAATTCCCTCTCTTTTACTCCACATTTAAACCATTGAGAATTTCAGTCAGCTCTACTTCTCTCCACCTTCTACAACTATGATCTAGATGACCACAATCATCTTTCCCCTCCTAACTTGCTTCCTTGCTTCTAACCTTGACCTCCTATAAGTCTATCCAGCAGCCAAGTGATTTTTTTTTTTTTTTTTTTTTTTTTTGAGACAGAGTCTCCCTCTGTTGCCCAGGCTGGAGTGCAGTGGCGCGATCTCAGCTCATTGCCAACTCCACCTCCTGCTGCCTCCTGGGTTCCAGTGACTCTCCCTGCCTCAGCCTCCCAAGTAGCTGGGATTACAGGCATCCGTCACCACACCCGGCTAGTTTTTGTGTTTTCAGAAGAGACAGGGTTTTGCCATATTGGCCAGGCTGGTCTCAAACTCCTGACCTCTGGTGATCCACCAGTCTCAGCCTCCCAAAGTCCTGGGATGACAGGTGTGAGCCACTGTCCCCGGCCACAAGTGATTCTTTTAAAATTTAAGATAGATCGTGCCTCTCCTCTGATGAGAACCTCCCAAAGTTCTTACCTTGCCTAAAGGGCTTATGTGAAATGTAGACTGCTCCCTCTCTCCACCCCGATTGCTAGGTCCTCATTTCCTACCACTACTTCCCTCCCCTATTTTGCTCCAGCTACAGTAATCTACTTGCTTCTCTTTATATGCCAAGCTGACTCCATATCATGGGCAGTGTACTTGATTACCTCAAACGGAAATGCTGTCCCCTCTATTCACTAATGTTTCTGATCAGATCACCACATTTTACCTCTCAGAGAAGCTCTTCTTGGCCATACTGTGTAAAGTAATGAAGCCTGACTATATCACTGTTTCTCCCCTTATCTTGCAGGGTTTTTTTTTTTTTTTCATACCTATTACCACTATATGACATATTTACTTTTTTATGTATCTCTTTCCCAACTAGAATGCCAGCTCTGTGAAACCAGGGATTCTTTATTGTTCACAGTTATGTCCTTAGAACCTAAGGTAGGCAGTGCTTATACATAGTGGCCATTTAGTTAATATTTATCAAATAAGTTGGTGAGCCTTAATACTTAAATGGAGAATGTGATTTCATTTACATTATAATAATCGAATCCATAGAATAATGAGGAACCTTCAAATGGAATCTGCTTTGTTTAAATCTTTATATCATATTTTCAACATTCAACACAGATTACAATTGTGTTTCATAGTTAGGTTAATGCTCATACAATACTCTTAGTGTCAAAATGTGGGGCCATATTACTATTTTAAAGATTCTTTTTATGGGAATAATTACTTTTTTGTTCTTTTGACGTAGACATCTGACCCTCAATTACATTAACAAACCTTATACACATGAATAGAAAGAAGAACAGCCCCTTTTGAATCCATGCTAAGACTTTATCAATATGAAGTGCTTCCCACAGAGTTCTGCTGAAAGAACTGAACTTCCATCATAATGAAATTGCAAATTCATTTGTATATGCTCCTCTTATATTTGAAAGCTACTTTTTGATGTTTTGGTCGGCAATTAAATTTATTGTTTAAGGTCACAAATATGCAATTCTGACTAGAACAAGTTGTCAGAATTCTTTATTCAGCATAGCACAAAGATAAATGGCTGTCTTTTAACAATAACATATGAAAGCCAAAATTTGTTCCCAGATATACATAATCTTTTAATGCTTTCTGTTTTCCAGTCAATAGACCCCTTAACCTGCTTCCTCACCATCTTACCTATCTAGATTATGGGTTTTTAAATTACGGCAAAACACTTTCATCAGATGGAAAAAGAAGTTTAAACATTTTAATGCTATAATTTTCCCACGCACATTTTATTGTTCCATCCGAATTCTTTTGCCTTTACCCCTATTCTGTGTAAGGTAGATAATTATGTAGTATGTTAGCTAAATTCTGTGGTTACATTTCTCACTGTTAACATGACCAGGAAGTAGATCGTGTTGCTTAATTGAAATTGAGTTTTCAAGTGTTTTTTCTTCCAAAAAAAAAGGGATACATGTGCAGAACATGCAGGTTTGTTACATACGTACATGTGTGCCATGGTAGTTTGCTGCACCTATTGACCAGTCCTCCAGCTTCCCTCCCCTCACTCCCCACACCCCAACAGGCCCTGGTTTGTGTTGTTCCCTTCTCTGTGTCTATGTGTTTTCAATGTTCACCTCCTACTTATGAGTGAGAACACGTAGTATTTGGTTTTCTGTTCCCGTGTTAGTTTGCTGAGGATGAGGGCTTCCAGCTTCATCCATGCCCTTGTAAAGGACATGATCTCATTTCTTTTTATGGCTGCAGAGTATTCCATGGTGTATATGTACCACATTTTCTTTATCCTTTTGATCATTGATGGGCATTTGGGTTGGTTCCATGTCTTTGCTATTATAAATAGTGCTGCAGTAAACATATGTGTGCATCTATCTTTATAGTAGAATGGTTTGTATTCCTTTGGGTATATACCCAGTAATGGGATTGTTGCGTCAAATGTTATTTCTGGTTCCAGATCCTTGAGGAATCGCTATACTGTCTTCCACAATGGTTGAACTAATTTACATTCCCACCAACAGTGCAAAAGCATTCATACTTCTCCACAGCCTCACCAGCATCTATTGTTCCCTGACTTTTTAATAATCGCCATTCTTACTGGCATAAGATGGTATCTCATTGTGGTTTTGATTTGCATTTCTCTGATGATCATTGATGTTGAGCTTTTTTTCATATGTTTGTTGGCTGCGTAAATGTCTTCTTTTGAGAAGTGTCTGTTCATATCCTTTGCCCACTTTTTGATGGGGTTGTTTTAAAACATTTCTGTGCATGTGGATTAACTTATTTTCTCAGATTCTATACTGCATCTAATACAAATGTATATGATTTTGATTAAAATAGATTTCTTAAATTTTTATTTCCTTTGTGGTCTTTCATACAGAAGACATAGAGGAACAACTGTCCTATAATATTTGAGGCCTTACTCTTTTTTTTTTTAGACAGAGTTTCGCTCTTATTGCCCAGGCTGGAGAGAAATGGCTCAATCTTGACTCATTGCAACCTCTGCCTCGTGGGTTCAAGCGATTCTCCTGCCTCAGCCTCCTGAGTAGCTGGGATTACAGGCCTGTGCCACCACGCCCGGCTAATTTTGCATTTTTAGTAGAGACGGGGTGTCTCCATGTTGGTCAGGCTGCTCTTGAACTCCTGGTCTCAGGTGATCCACCGGCCTCGGCCTCCTAAAGTGCTGGGATTAGAGGTGTGAGCCACTGCGCCCGGCCTAGGCCTTATTCTTTATCTAAGAATATCCAGTGTCTTTATAGATTTATTCAAGGGATTTTGATAATAAATAATCAAAAGCCTTTTGTTTAAGGTGATCATAGCGATAAAGAAGAACAAAGACATTGAATGACAATAGCAGGATGTTGTAAAGCCTGCATAGTAATGTCCCCATTTTAAGATCTTGTTTAAATATTTTTTTGCAAATCTGAGAATCTTTTTTTTTTTTTAACTACCATGTAATTTGAATCTTCCCCAACTGAAGAGAGTAGACTGTTTCAGGAGGACGTATAAGAAAAAAACATAACTTTTAAAGTCAGACAATCCCCTCCAGCCCCCGAATTCTGGAATTCTGACTGCTATTACTTTTGTGACCTAGGTTACTGCATTCTTCGAGCCTCTGTGTAGCAATGCAATAGACAAAAATCTCTATTCATACAGTTTAGTGATACGATTAAATGAGACAACACATATGAAGAGCTGAAAACAGTGCCCAGCTATATAGTAAGCACTCAATAAATACCATTTGGAGTCCTCTCTTTCTGCTGTCCCCTCACCCCAACTCTGTTCTTCATGCTCTGTGATCTGTTCTAATTGGGCTTAATCAGAAATTAAAACTGTTGAACTGAACTTGAAACCTTTCTGTGCCTGCCAACTCTGTATTAAGAATACTGTGCATTCTCCGATGTAATAGGTAGGACAAAGAGAGAACCTTGAATTGATCTAGATCTAAACACCCACCAGGTGTATGTGGTCTTTTTCTTCTCAGCAAATTGGTCCCCCAGGGATTTGTAGCACCTGCTCTACTCCCAGCCCCCATTTGAAGTCCAGATGGAGCCTTTAGATTTACTTAAGTCTCTCTTCAACCTGCCTATTTGAGAGCTGAGCTCTAAGTAATGTTAATGTGATGTAGGAAGGCATTATCATATTAATCATTTTGTGTAAGGTGACATACTTCATTGCTTGTTGCTCTTTTGACCATTCATAATGTTCAGATTTTTGCCTTAAGAGTTTCATCTTTTAAAACATTTATTTTCAGGAAAAGATTTAATAGTAATGTAATATACTGTTTATACCTCAAAATATTTTATGATTGTAAATTCTTATTGTTTTAGGTGCAAGGATGGTTTGAAAGGATTTACATTTTCTGCACTTAGGTAAGTAACATTTATTTTTATGTTAAGAGAGAATTTACAAGTTAACTTAAAACATAATACATAATTACAATAAATATTTATTGACTAAACATTTAAACTGAAAATAATTTTAGAATTCACAAAAGTACTTCCAAGCCTGCGGATATATAGCTCATTGAAAGAGTAATTTGTCAGATTTTTCCCTCTAAAAAGTAATCAACTACTTCTTTTGGACCTATTGTGTGCTTTCTATTGCGGGGTGTTTGAAAAGAAATACAAGAACTCACTTCAGGGAGCTTGGAAAGACAGAGCTGCTCATGAACAATTACTGAAAAGTTAAGTATTTAATTGTGTGGTACTAGATTATTTGCTTTAGGGCAAGACTCATGCACAGTCAAACACAAATTTGATTTTAAGTATCACTAGAGTCTTTTCACCGCATAGCCCATCTTTTAGCATAGCAACTGGTACATGGTATATACTGTAGAAATGTTGGTTAGCGTTAGCATTATATTTTATAGTTCACCAAGAATTTTCTCATAGATTAGAAAATTAAATTTTTGCAACAGTTCTGTGAAAGGTAACATGATGAGAAAACTGAGGCTTAGAATATTTGTCTAATTTAACCTCACACAAGTTAACTGTATATACTGACTCCATACCCAGTGTTTTTCTAGTTTATATCATAAATGTTGCCTGTTTTGTAATCCAAAGGACGTATAGTAGATGCTTGGTGAAGATTAGTAGTATGGTTTTTACTGCAAGTATTGGAGGGAAAAATTAGGGAAAGCTTCAGTACTAGCAAAAGTTTTTACGTGATTGTCTCAAGGTTATTTTGAGGATCAAATGAGTTAATATGTGAAAAATACTTCAAACAGTGGCTGGCATGTAGTAAATACTCAAGAAATGTTGACTGTTATTTTTGTTATATTCTCATAGATGATGTGCCTTAAACTGTACTTTAAGGATAGCTTTCAGTAACTACAAGGAAGAGGAAGTGCACTCTGGGTGAAAGTGAATAATAGTAGCAAGAGAGTGAAAATTGTAAACACGAAGTGTGAGGTAACAGTGAGAAAATGGACTTAATTGGTAGGAAAAGTTTATATTAGGAAATATAAAATTTTTTTGGTATGTAGAGTAGGTTCAGATTATGGAAGACCTGGGGGACAAAAAAAAAGACTAATTTGGATTTGATAAGGTCAGCAGTAGGGAGCTACTAACATTTTTTGAGCAGGGTGGTTTACAGTGTTTCAGAAAGATTGGTCTGGCTGCAGTATTTGGGACATCAAAAAAGAGAGAACCAGCAGGTGGAAAGACAATAAGGACTAGAATTTGGGTGACAGTAGGAGGATTAAAGAGAAGCAGAAAAAGTTAAGACTTGCAATGAATGAAAATGAAGACTGATATTTTCCTTCTTTTCCCCTCCACCCTGCAATCCCAGCCAAGTATTGGAAACCAAAGTGCCTGAAAGAAGGTGCTGTTAACAGAAAATCACATGGCATGCAAGGAAACTGGTTTGGGAGGGAACAAATGGAGTCCACTGTATGATTAAGGATATCTTTGGTTGTGAGAACTCTGTGGGAACACCAACTTTCTAAGTCATAATACACCACACTAATTTCCTTACTGTTACTTTTTGGTAAAAGATCATGATATTTATTAGAAAATTAAGTTTTTGTTATTGTTGTTGCATTGGCTAGAAAGCATTTGGTATTAAGTTTAAAGTTGATAACAAAAACAAAAGTTAGGTTTTCAAAAGAGAAGGAAAAACTTAGTCTTGTTTTCCTACATCTCCTTAGACTCCCAGAATTCTTACAAAAACTTAAAATGTGTCAGATGGTTTTGTGTCTTTTTTTCAAATCCACTTTTAACAGAGGGCTAGTTTGGACTATTTGCACTTAATTTTTCGCTGTATTATAGAAAAATATTCTAGAAAAATGTTTGTTAATTCTTGCTAATATTCTTGTTGCTAAAGCAAGAAAACTGTTAAATATTGTGAATTGTCATATGTTTATTTGTGCATCTTCTTCCACTAAGCAAATTCTGTTTCATTTTAATCCTATTTCATAATCAGTCTGCAGTGTGGTGAATTTGGATTCAAGAAATGTGGCTATTTCTTGAATTTGTATGGTGAATATGGACTCACTCCATTGCAGATGAATTAATCTCACACTTATAAAGTTGATTCTCAGAAGAATGTTACTAAAAGCCAAATATATTTTTTATTGTTAAGTTTCATTGTAAAAAAATAATGTGTGTGCTTCTTGTAGGCTTTCAAAAAAGTGTTATCTGACATGTCTTTCCTGCTACCTCTTTGCAGTCCTGGTGGTTGTGATTTTTATTGTAGACGTATGCTGTAAATTTATGGCATGTCAAAAGTGCAAAATTTAATATTAATTACAAAGGGAAGGGGAAAGGAAAATACTTTTTGTAGCACAATTTAATATGACTTCCTGACAATATTAAACTTTGGTGAGGAAAAGATACACAGAGCTTGACACATTTGAGAATGGTGAGATTTAAATGAATACAATCATAAAATGGCATAAGGAAGTGCTTATCTCATACAGATCATAATTGCTGTATCATGAAAACATACATTGTTCACTCAGAGGAAAACTGTCCTTTATCCACAAAGGACAAATATTTACACAGTACTGCAATGTAATGTGTCCTAATTAGACAAGGCTAAAAAGCTTTAAAATACTAAACTTTACTTCAGACTGGGCACCGTGGCTAACGCTTATAATCCCAGCACTTTGGGAGGCCAAGGCGGGCAATCACTTGAGATCAGGAGTTAGAGACCAGCCTGACCAACATGGTGAAACCCCGTCTCTATTAAAAATACAAAAATCAGCTATGTGTGGTGGTGGGCACCTGTAATTCCAGATGCTTGGGAGGCTGAGGCAGGAGAATTGCTTGAACCTAGGAGGTAGAGGTTGCAATGAACTTTGATTATGCCACTGCAATACAGCCTGGGTGACAGAGAGAGACTCTGTCTCAAACAAACAAACAAAAACTCAGTTTAGCACCTTTTAAAAAATCACTTGTATTAGTCTGTTCTCACACTACTATAAAGATACTACTCGAGACTGGTTAATGTATAAACAAAAGAGGTTTAATTGACTCACAGTTCTGTATGACTAGGGAGGCCCCAGGAAACTTACAGACATGGCAGAAGGCCAAGAAGAAGCAGGCTGCTGCTTCACAAGGCGGCAGGAGAGGAAGAGAGCTAGAGTGAGGGAGTGCCACACTTTAAAACCATCAGCTCTCCTGAGAACTAATTCATTATCACGAAGACAGCATGGGGGGAACTGCCCCCATGATCCAATCACCCCCACCATCTCCCTCCCTCAGCAGGTGAGGATCACAACTCAAGATGAGATTTGGGTAAGAACACAGAGCCAAGCCATATCAGCACTCCTCAACAAGTATGAGATAATACAGGAGCTACAGAGTTAACATTCACTGATAGATATACTCAGTATAATTTATTCTGCTCCAGGTCTTGTACTAAGTGTTGAAAATACACTGGGGAATAAGCCAGATACAGTCTCTGTCCTCAGAGAGCTTATGGTCTAGTGGGAAAGACAGCACTAATTATAACTGTGTCCAATGTTACAAAAGAGAAGTGTAGGTTATCTCAGGAATATATTTTAGGCAAACCTAACCTAGCATCTTTCCCCAAGCTGTGGATAGGAGTAAATGGAGAGAAGAAAGCAGGAAATTTGCACAAAATTACTTATAGACTAGAAAAACCGAAATGTAATAATAGAAGTTAAGTGTTCAATAATTCCAAATTATTAATACTTTTATTTTACTGTGGGGGTGGGTGGGAAGGAGCGAGCGGAAGGAGCATTTAAGATGGATTTTAAAAGACAAATAAGATTTTTAGAAAAGATGTAGGGAAGAATGATCCAGATAAGAAGAGCAATACAGACACATGGTTTATTTGGATAATGTCAAGTAGTTCATTTAATTGTAATATAATAATAGCTCCTATAGTGAGCACTCACTCTGCACAGGCCTCACAGTATCTTAAATCAGATACTGATTTAAGCTTGAAGTTTGTATTTAATTCAGTAGGCCATAAGCCCGTGAAGTTCCTTGAGGATATGTGTAGTCAGTTCAGATGTGTACTTTGGGAAGCTTCCTCTGGAAATTCTATGTGGGATGATTTGAAAAGTATCTGCATATGTAGGTAACAGTAGAAGTCAAGAGAATAGTGTCAAGGACACAACCTCGGGAGAAAAGCCAGTGTGAGACTCTGAAGGTGTGCTAGCCTTATTCATCATAGTTTAAAATATAGTTAGAAACATATGTAGCTTAGTGATTAAGAAGCCAGACTTTAGGCCAGACAATTCTGGGTTCAAATAATTACTGATAATTTATTGGTTGTGGACCAGATACTTAACCATGCCAACTCTCATGGGAATTGTGACATCTATAGTATTGTGAGGATTACATGAATGAATTAGTATTTGTAAAAGGCTCAGTTGGCACTGTGTCTGTTATATAAGATATGCTCAGAAAATGCTAGCTATTACTATATTCATTCATTCAATATGTATTACGTATTTACCATGTGCCAGACACTATGCTAGATGCTGGGATATATTAGCAAAGAAGATACACATGGTCTCACAGGCCTCACAGTTGAGTAGCGGATGTAGACTACTAAAATGGCACGTACATTACTGTACTGGCAGTTCATTGGGCTCTCCTAGCACAGAATTATTCTGGCCTGGGACAGGGTCAGCTTCTCCAAGGAAGTGATTTCTAATCTGAAATAGTCAGTCCTGGCCAAAATAACAACAGTATTATGAAGGGTGTTAAGAGAAACTGTTCTATCTGTTCTGGCATAGTTTTACCCTTGTTGCTAATAAAGAACAGCAGTACAGATCTTAAACTCTCTATGTACAACCATAAGTGAGAAACAAATTCATTTGAACTGACAGCTACCAAAGATGCACAGCTGCCATCTGGTGACAAACAAACCCCTTGCACACCCCTTATGATTTGATAAGCTAGATGTTTTACCGAGGTTGTCTGAACAGGATGGGTTGCAGTTGTTGGTAGTAACAGCTTTTTCATTCTTTCTAAGTATTTATAGTTTCATATTCTGTTTGTCACAGGTCTGAAGTTACTTTTTTTTTTTTTTTTTTTAAGTGACAGGGTCTTACTGTATTGCCTAGGCTGAAGTACAGTGGCATGATCATAGCCCACTGCAACCTTTAACTCCTGAGCTCAGGCAATCCTCCCATGTCAGCCTCCCATGTAGCTGGGACTACAGGCATACACCACCATGCCTAGCTGATTTTTAATTTTTTTGTTAAGGTGGGGGTCTCACTCTGGTGACCAGGATGTTCTTGAACTCCTGGCCACAAGTGATTGTCCTGCCTCAACTCCCATAGTGCCGGGGTTACGACATGAGCCACTATGCCTGACTCAAGTTCCAGAATTTTAGTGTATTGTTATTAATCCCGTTCTATCTCTATTTTACTATATTTTCTGAAAGCTTGGAAGGTAGTATTACCTTGAGAAAGCTTAATCTTTATAAGAGCAATGACTCTTACAGGATAGGTGTAAACAGTGATACTGCAAACTCTGAGAAAGGAGATACTTCTTGAGGCATATCCAATTGTGATAATATTTTCCATTCATTGTCTTTGCAAAAATATAGTCTAATTTTGATGAAACAGGAATATTATTTTCTAGATATTTTATTTTTCCAAAGAAAAATAAGTAATTAGAATAACATCAACTTTCAGATTTCCTAATGAAATAATATGAAGACTTGGGGAATCTGACTGTTTTCTGATTCCTGTTCTGTAGTGCCCTCTGTTTCCCTGTGCATATACAGATAACCAAGTGTGCTGCAGCTGTTTATGACTCAAAATGACAGGTATAAATGTCGAGTTTTACTGTAAATGAGAATCTCATTCAATTGTAACTATTAGCCAAATTTAAGAAAAAAATACATAATTTTTGTGATTTACTAGTGTTGTGATTTACTAGTATACCCAAGTCTACCTGGTTTTTTGAAAAACTGTAAGGTGTATGTTTAAAAAGTGGTGTCCCATGTTAAAGGGTGCTTCATTAAGTGTTGTGCTCTATTTTACTTGGTCAGTTTGATTTTAAAATACCTGCATTATCAAACAAGTGACTATTAATTTTTTTTGAGTATTCAGATTTTAAAAGTCTATTTTTCTTCATAGGATGATTCAATTTTATGTGAATTGCGGAAATGCTATCTCAAATGATAAGATATTTGCCAAAGTGTATTTGTTTATAAACAGTTTCTTTTTTTTTTTCCTCATTGATTTTTTTTTAAGTGCAAAATGCCTCACATTGTGCTCTTTTCTTTAGGTTCATTGTAGGGAAGGAAGAAATTCCCACACACTCTTTTTCACCAGAGGCAGCATATGCAAAAGTGGAACAAAAGAGAGAGCAACACAAGGAAAAACCCAGAAGAATGAATATGATTGGTCTAGTCAGGAAATTTGTGGATTCAATGTGAGCACTTTATCTTGATATTTTAACCTACTTTGTCACTGTTTCATATGATATTTGTACCGTGCCACGGTATTTTTGTTTTCTATTCAGGTAATGATGATCATTTTTCATCAGAAACTGCATAGAATTTTATAAAAGGCACACAATGGCAAGTGAATATTATTTATTATTTCTGGCAGGACTGTAGACCATCATATGCCTTTAAAATAGGTTTACATAGAATTGGAATACTTTCGTATTTCAAACCAGGCAGAATCACAGGAGGCCATGATGGAGAACTTCAGGAAACTGATTAATATGTGTTGATTTAATGTGCCAAGTGTGGAAAGAAGGAAGCAAAATTCCTGAGAGAGATTCAAGAAGATTAAGGAATAATAAGGGACAACCCTTAAGTAAAGGATATTTTGTAAGAGTGAACATTTTTGGGGTTCTCAAACTGAAGTGTTTTTATTTGTATATTATAAAAAGAAGTTTTCAGGTTTCATACAGATTTTCGTTTATATTTCTAGTGTAGTGTAGATATTTAAGAAAATAAATTTAATAGTTTGAAATTAGATTATCAACCAATAAATAAAATCTTGGTAGTGATATTTTAGAGAGGGTGGAATGAGTAGGCAATAAAGAAAGTTAGGGGATCAGTTATAGCAAGGGCTCCTAACCCCTGGGCCATGGGTCAGTATTGGTCCGAGGCCTTTAAGGAACCCGGCCACACAGCAGGAGGTGAGCAGCAGGCCAGCGAGCATTACCGTTTGAACTCTGCCTCCTGTCACATCAGCAGTGGCATTAGATTCTCATAGGAGCACAAACCCCATTGTGAACTGCGCGTGTGAGGGATCTAAGTTGCGTGCTTCTTATGAGCATCTAATGCCTGATGATGTGGAGTGGAACAGTTTCATCCTAAACCATCCCCCTCTCCCGCCACCCAGTCAGTGGAAAAATTGTCTTCCATGAAACCAGTCCCTGGTGCCAAAAAAGTTGGGGACCATTGAGTTATAGGAAGCTGAGGTCCTTTAATAAATTAGAAAACCTATGTTTCACTCTTATTTTCCCTCTACCAGCATTGTAACTTTGGATGAGAGATTTAACCATTGTGCATTTCCAAGTTCTTATCTGTTAACTGGGATTAATAATCTCTATTAAGAATTGGTGTGAGCATTAAATGAGATAACGTCTCTGAACTTGCCTGACATAAAATATGAGCACAGGGAGGGTACTCAGATTTTTATTGAATTTAAAGGTTTTGTCTTCATCTTAACATACAATACATCTAGAAGATAACAGGAATAATTATGGTAGTTGAATTTATTAAACAAGTTCAAAAATAGTTATGGGTTACCTCAGTGGGAAAAAGAGAGAAAGGATCCTATTAATGGAAATAATTTCAACGGGAATCAGAGGGGAATGCAGAGAATGAATTATATGGGTAAATGATGCCTGGGGCGTCAGAACTGATCAGGTCATGACAGAACGTATCAGAGTAGCCTCAGTGGGTCTACTGGTGTGAAAGCAGATGCAGAATAATACAGAAGCAAAGCAAATAATACAGGAGACAGGCAGTCCAGGTTCTGGGAAGCCATTTATGAGTGACTAAGAAAGACTAATTGACAGTACAGTTGATATCAGGATTTAACTTCACTAGCAAAGAAAGGTTAGGCCAGGCATGGTGGCTCACACCTGTAAAACTAACACTTTGGGAGACTAAGGTAGGAGAATCACTTGAGGCCAGGAGTTTGAGACCAGCCTAGACAACATAGCAAGACCCTGTCTCTCAAAAATTTTTAAAATTAGGTAGGCATGGTGGCATGTGCCTGTAGTCCTGGCTACTCAGGAGGCTGAGGTGGGAGGATTGCTTGAGCCTAGGAGTTTAAGGCTGCAGTGATCTATGATCATTATGATCATGCTACTGTACTCCAGCTTGGGTGACAGAGTGAGACCCCCATCTCTTTTTTTTTTTTTTTTTTTTTTT